GTATGCGATCTGTTTCGGGCAAAGCAAATTTCGGATAATCGGGGTACGTCTGTATTTTAATGTTTAGAGGGCGTTCCATAACTTCGAACAATCGGCAACATATATTTTTAAATATAACACCCTCATTTTATTGCATTAGCATACATCTTCTAAAAACAAGTTGATATCATATAATATAATGGTTTCAATTGTCAGTTGTTTACATATTTGGTCAAACGTCTGCAAAAAAAAAACCCAGCTTTGACGACCCGCAGCTGCGCCATTTTTGACGATATTTAGATAAATCTTGGATCAAAAAATTTAGTATCATCGATTTCAAGCTGATTTGGATAAACATCGTCTACAAAGAACTGGATCTAACTACTAGCGCAGCAGCGGTGGCCGCAGTAGTAGACTCTTCGGTCTCCTGATCAGCCGCCGTGCGCTGTGCGGGTTCGAGTCCCGTCCCAGGAGAAATTTTTCTCTTGGCTATGGATGTTGTGATTGTCCGTAGGTGGTAGATGGTCTCTGACTGTCGAACGCGGAGGTACCACCCGGCGGTTCTCGTAGGCGGAGCCAGAATGTGTGCATGTTGCATGCACACGTGTTCCCTCGCCAGAGTCCGTGAGGCGTCCCCCCTTTTCCCATGTATCCCCCTATAGCCCCACGGTACCCAATGGGTGCTTAGGCCTTAGGCCTTCGTGGTAGTTGGAGTATAAAAAAAACTATGAAATCCACTTTTATAATGTCCTTCCTGAGGCACTCAGAATGTCTGCCACCGGTTCATTTAGGAATTAAAACCTACTTTATCAAGAAAGCTTTTAATAACATGGAAGAATTTTTAAGTAATAACTTTTTGGATCCCTTATAATGGTGTTGTAGTGTGCTTGTTTACCTTTACGCTGTTTGTTAATCTGTCTGGATGTGCTTGTTCTATAGTTCTATATTTTAATTTCATAATTTCATTTTACAGTTCTGCTGTTAATGTTGTTGTAATTTTAGGAACTTTAATTACAATTTCTTCTTATTCCTCATTCAGAATATGATTAGGGTTAGAAATTAATATTTTATCTATTATTCCATTAATATAAAAAAATACAAAATATTTATACCCCTCTGAAGCGGCAATAAAATATTTTATCACTCAAGTTTTAGCTTCCTTAATGCTTTTATACTATTATATCAATAAATTTTCAAGAATTTCCTCCGCAAAATTCTTCGAATTTATTAATAATAATTTTAAATTCTTCGCTATTTTTGAAAATAGGAGCTGCCCCCTTCAATGCCTGATTCCCTGAAGTAATAGAAGGGTTAAATAGAGGCAATAGACTTATTATACTTACTTGGCAACAATTGCCCCTATAGTAATTTTTATATATAATATAACTTAAATATGGCTTTTTTCTTATCATGAGTTAGTTTATTTTCCTCTATTATTAGAGGTATTATAGGGCTTAATTAAATCAGCTTACGAAAAATTCTAGCTTAGTCTTCTATCAACCATATTGCCTGAATACTTGCTAGTATAATGAATTTTAAAATAATTTGGATTTTTTTACTTTATTATCTATTCCATTATTAACTTGAATCTAGAGGCAATTTTTTGATATTTTAAAAGTTTTTTTTACTACTCAACTATTTGTAATCTTTAGTTCTAGCAAAATATCTGGATTGTTTTCTTTATGAATTTTTTATCTTAGGGACGCTTACCGCCTTTCCTAGGATTTTAACGAAAATGATTAACTATCAGTGGTTTAATTAATAGAAATTTTTTTAGCTTAAGAATTATTCTAATTGTATTCACACTAATTACATAATTTTTTTATATACGATTGACTTTCACAGCTTTTCTTTTAATTAAAACAGAAGCACTTTTAAATCTTAACTGTAAAATTTTGAATATTTTTTTTTTGTTTTAGCTTTAGCTGGACTAATTTATTGTTCTATAATAATCAATATCTTTCAATTTGTGGGTAATCCTAATCTAAATTTTAATTCTCAAGAACAATAAACCTTAAAATTCAATTGAAAAAAAACTAATTTTTAAAAAATTGATTTTTAATAAAATCAAAACCTAACAGAATTAACAAATTTTGTCATTTTATTAAATTTCTTAACTCCTGACTCAAACAGTACAAAATTCAGTTCAATATTATATTATTTCGAAATCCTAAAATTATCTAATTTAAAAATAAATTTACTAAAAGTCTGAAATCTAAATTTCAAAAAAATTTAAATTTATGAATAAAATAAAATTTTGTTTATTAGATTTAATGAAATAAGTTTGCCAAATAAGTTTGCCTTAAATAATTTTATTAAATTTCTAAATCTTAAATTTAAAATTAACTAATATATTGAATAAATTTACTGGAATTTCCTCTTTAATATGAAGTTAATAAAAAATGACACCGTAAAAAGTTAAACTTAAGCTTGTAAAGGATTTAAGTTAAAACTAAACTTTTAACCTTCAAAGTTGAATATAGAATGGTTTATTCTAAGCCTTGAACGGCTTAGTAATTAAAAAAGCTTTAAAAGTTTAACTTTACCATTAAATTTGCAATTTAATATCATTTTTGAATACAAAGCTTAGTGAGAGAATTTTTTTTATTTCGTTCATAAATTTACAATTTATTGCCTATGCTCAGCCATCTCACTGAACAAATGATTGTTTTCTACGAATCATAAGGATATCGGCACCTTATACTTCCTATTTGGAGCTTGAGCTGGAATAGCCGGGACTTAGAATATTAATTCGAGCTGAATTAGGAAGCCCAGGCTCACGTATTGGAAATCACCAAATTTATAACGTTATCGTATCTGCCCATGTATTTGTTATAATTTTTTTTATAGTAATACCTATTATAATTGGGGGATTTATTGTTTTGTGAATTTAAACTTTTGCGTTTTAGCTTATACTTTGACCTGTGTAAGCACGCAAGTTTATTAGGCACCAATAAAGAAATTAAAATGAAATAGAATGATAAAGAAATAAACAGGTTGTTCCATTTAAAATATATGAGAAATAGTACATTTTGTGTATTGAGATACCAAGTTTAAATATAAAGATATTTTAGCATTTTTTTCTGTCCCTTTATGCCTCCGGTAGCCCGGTGTAGCTTCTGGTTTGAATAAATATTCTGTGGTAGAATATCGAGCGGTGTAAGTCCGTAAAGGCATCTCTATGGTTTCATCGTACGGGATATTGATAGTCAGGTTGTCAAAACTATTGGTAGGTGACGACTACTTGCGCACAATAAAACATTGTTTTTAACTAATGGTGTAAAACTCGACCACGTTTTGTATCTTTGATGGCACTAGTAAATTGACAGCCAACGTGCATACTACATTTGGTTATTTCCGCGGTTAAAACGCGAGTCCGAAAGCACGAGTTCTTAATAAATAAGAGGCTTCCTACAAAGTCTTTAATATTTTTGCATCCATCAACAAGTCTATCTAAGCCAAAATTCCAAAATCCTATTTATGTTGGTAGGCGGTAGGAGGTTGTAATATCTTGACAAGCTCATTGCGCAATTTCGCTAACTTGCCAACAACTTCCGCAAAAGCAATTTCGGCGAGCTTTTCATCGCGTCAAACTCATTAAATGTCTGTTTCTGAGTGGATTAACTTATAGGGGATAAGGATCATAAAAACAACACCGCAGGGACTCTCTAGATCGAACGGAGAGTGACATTTCGGGTGAATGGATTCTAAGCTTGACGGTCTCCGAACTTATATTGTCCAACATGGTTTTGCTATTAGATGTTATGACGCGGGTATCGTTTGTTGTTCATGGGAAACTTTTATACAAGAGCTGTAATTATACGAGCTTTACAATCACCAGGAGAAATGTTGATCAGACGCATGCGCATTAAAAAAAAACAGCTGTCATTTTCTTGCAACTGCCGGGGTGTTGCATGAAAATCAATAGTTGGATTCTTCATGCAAGTTTGTTTGCAATTCTGGTGGAATAGTTAGTAAATTACAAGTTACCAATACATGCAAATGTCCCTAGGTTGGTCCGGTGGTTTGTGTGGTTATATTTAACTGTTTTCAGATATACGTTCGATTGTGTTTTGATCTTGGATGGTCGGCGATTGAAACTAGTTTTTTTATATTAAAACCATGTGTTCTGAAGGGTGAATAGTGCTTTCGTTTAGGTTGGCTAACCTTGCTCGTTTGAATCGAGGAAACAGGGCCGTCTTGCAACTGCAAGTGATTGGATGCAATGGTCTTGCAGACAAAACAATGTCGTCTTGCAATTGCAAGAGATTGCATGCAATGGTCTCGCGGTCTGTAAAAAAAACCATGGACAGCTGTTTTGTGCTTTCTGGCAGCTCATCAGTATGGCCTAGGCTTGGTCTCTGGGACAACGAACGAAAACAATCGGCACATATACCAAAGCCTTGAGAGGGTTGTCGCCAACCTTTTCAATGTGTTGAGCTACTTCGATAATTTTGGAATAAACAGTGAGCTACCTAGTCGTAAGCAATGTAAGCCAACTTAAATGAAATTATACACAGTTGTATGCGACATACATGTAATAATAATACCAATACATACTAATAAACTTAAATAAACTAATAACTAATACATACTACATCACTACATCCATTCCTACCAATCGTAGGTGTTTGAAGAATAAATTTTTCGTCAGCTACAATACCATGTCACATACGATTTAATAAAGGTAACTAAAAATAAAAAAGCAACGCACTGTTTTAAACAAAAACATGTCAAGATAAAAAATGCGTGTTCAATGAGAAGCCTAACACTGAGAATCACTTACAATTTGTTTAATGTTTTGAGTATAATTTGATACCGCCATTCGGTGGCAATGTTTATCCGTAAGTCGATTACGTTATTTGTTTTTAATAAACTTCATATTTTAAAAAGAAGGTTCACACAAATAGGTTGAACTTAATAACGCTTTCACTTTCAAGGCAACACGACATAAATCTGAATATTTATCTGTACTTACTGATGGCTAGATACATTTTATATTCGAGACTAATGATTTTAAAGCTAAATCATTTTGAAACGCAATCACTTCCATTTCTGTCGCAGCGATGTCTTCGCTAAAATTCTGCGTAACAGAAGTTGCAAACTGTTGCATATCAATTTCCATGAAGGGTCAAACAACAAATTGCGCCACTATAGCAATTTCGTTGAAATCCTAGAAACGATTTTTGACGTTATCCTTCAAGTTAGAGACTATTTCTACATGACATTTACTGTCATATAGTTCTAATGGACTTAGAAATATACTTTTTGAAAAAACAGGAAAATGCCTGGTATCGCCATCGATTAAGTTTTGTTCCCAAAACTCAAGCTTTTTGATAAACGCTTTTATATCAGAAATCATTTCTGCTAGTTCTTTGTCTCTTCCCTGAAGCTGCAAATAAGAAGAAAACAAGTCCTGCCCAGTAGTCTGTCCTTTTAGTGGAATAAACTTCAAAAGATCTTTAATCGTAAAATCACTAAAAGCTATCCTGACGAACACGACCATCTGTTTGCACAGATTTTATAGCAGCATCTTTTGTTTATTTCTAAAGTTGGCAAATAATGAATTTGCAGCTTCTGAAAATGCATGTTTTATATCATTTCCCAGTCTTCATAAGGTTTCTTCTTTTCTGTAATTATCTGGGACACCCGGTACATAACAAACATACATTTTTACCTTAAACTTCTGTAAAGAAATATTGTTCTTCGCATTCCGAATGGAAATGGTATGTCTTCATCTTCTTATTGCTGCTCGTATTATTTTTAATTGCAGGCCAACTCTAACCCAACCGCTGGACTTCGTGACTTAATTTTAAACTGAGCGCACTGTCGTCGTGCCTTTCGTATTTATTCCGTTCAAAGTAACTGAGATCATTCTCGAACACCTTTTTCAAGTATGCTGTGAGCCACCAGAATGGCCTTTGCGAGCTACCGGTAGCTCGCGATCGACGGGTTGGCGATCACTGCCTTAAGATAACGGAGATATTAAGTTCCGAAAAACTGTAAATAATTAGCCACTCCTATCCTGCCTCCCTCCCCACCTTCGTCAAATGGTATGAGGTATGCCGTTTTGTGGTACTATGACTATGTGCGTCAGTATCCAAATCATTCGCCGCGTGGTGTGTGGGTTAACCTTGTTTATGAACAAACAGCATTTGAGAACCGCAATTGGTATACTCCTACAACCTCATCCTGATGACATTCGCAGATCGACAAATCATGAAATAGGAAATACTCTTCATGAATCCCGTTACGAGCAATGGGGCGACTTTCTGAAGGGTATGCTTAACTCAAGTATTCCTCTCTGGAAAGTTGCCAAATCGCTCAGACACGGAAAGCAAGAACAACTCCCGCACATCCACGGACCTGGAGGTATAGTCTTTAGAACACAGGAAAAGGTCGAGCCTTTCGCTCATGCTATGGAATGACAGCTCTCTCCCAACCATGGATTTGATAATGGAAAAAAAATAAAATAAATAAACACATTGTAAGATCGTAATGAGATATTTTCAGTGGTATTGACGTCTTCCTTAGTGGTATTTGCTCAGAGGTCTCTTCTTCGGAAGATTCTTCAACATCGTAATCTCCCGAGATCCTGCACTGCTCACCAGCAGAGCTTCCAGGTCATACTAACGGCCTCAAGAGACGATCTAATTACCAATAAGGCGAAGAAGTCCTTAAATTGATGCAAAAGAGACTTTTGACATCCTTCCTGTAGGGTAGGATATTTCGTATCAAAAGTAATAAAGTTCTGTCGACAACACGGCCCGTTAGTGCCGGTGTCCCTCAGGTTTCGGTTCTTGAACCAATCCTTGTTCACGACAGGCTGCAAAGTGCGGCGGACGAGGTATTGGAACGGGTTGAACGGGGGCTTATCAAAATTAATCATTCGACAAGGCTGGATATCTATTGTACTAAAAAAATGGAACGGCGCCCCGTCTCAGGTTTCAGTGAACGGAGCTCGCGTGTCATGAGAAAATATTGCTAAGTATTCTAGCTTCGCTGTTGACAAGGGGATGACCTGGCAGAAATAGACTGAAGCGTAAAAAGCTAAATTCCAAATCACGTTTCGGCAATTCATACCCTATGGCTATGTAGAACCTCAAAGTTAAGTTTGATCAACAAAGTTCGGCTATACAACATGGTTATCTGTCCAGCGATGACTTACGTATGTGCGGGTTGGGGCTCCTCACCCAAACGCATTTGCGTAATCTGCATGTTTTTCAGAACAGAACCGCGCGTACAATCACTAACGTCCCATGGTATGTCTCCACTGATACCCTTCACAGAGACCGTGACATCCCTTAACTGAGGGACTAATTCAAACAAGCGTAGCTACGTTATAGTCAAGCGGAATCGCATATCAACACTTTGTTACGCGAGTCGGTAGACTAGACAGTTGAGCAAGTTCGCAAGCAGACAAGGCCGCGGCTCTCACTTAGAACAAAACTATTTTATCATGCTACTTTAGGTTCACTCAAAATTATATATTTTTCCAATGGCCAATCTCCAAATTGATGTTAAGATAAATTTAAAATTCCCGAATACTATGAGTAGTTAGCAATGCCAAGGCACCCCTCAAATTGATCCACTACTTTCTTTTTGCGATCTCCCCTTCCCTCCTCTTCCCTTTTTCCCCTGTCTGGTATCTGGGCAACTAGACCTGGCAGACCTAGTAACTTACAATACTCTAACGAAGAGCAAAGGTCATACGGACTGTTAATGACGAAAAGAAGAAGAAGACTTCTACAACAATAACGTAGTTGTCGATTTGATGTTATCTTACTGTATTGTGTATTCTAGTATTCAGAATGTCGCCGTCGTCGTCGATGCTGCATGTGTTTGTTTATGCAAAAGCCGGCTGGTTGAACACAGTTGAAGACCTAGACAGCCCCAAATGTTGCAAATTTAGGGAGTAGTAAACAAATTCGTGTTTTTGAATGCAAGATCTGTCGCCAAGTAAACAGGTCAAAGAAAAAATAAACAAATATTTTTTGTTTTGGAAAATCGAATTTATCTTATCCAAAATAGTCTCCTCAGAGTTAATATAGCGATTTGCAGAGACCAACAGATTTTCGATGATAATGATTTTAGCTCATCATAGCCAAATGTAGTTTACCGAACAGAAAATAGTCACACGGTGCCATATCAGGAGAATATGGGTAGTGGTTGATGGTTAAAATGCGATTGTAATGAAATTTTGACACGACATCAATAATAATAATAATAATAATAATAATGTTTATTGTCACAAAATACAAGTAAATATCAAATATTGTGCACAATAAACATAAAGCACCCAAAAAAAGTTTGCACTTGTGTTTGGGTTTGTACAAAATAAAAACTAATAGTACAGTCAGTGTATGAAAAAAAAGAAAAAAACCTGTTAATACTGTATAATTTGGTGAATTATTATGGTAATGTCAGGAAAAATATCCAGACAATTAGAACTGAAGTAAAAGTATGGATGTTAGTGTAAGTAAAATATTATTGATTTTGATAATGATTTTTCAGGTCTACAATTTCGTGGATGGAGTACCTTGGTTGTTGTAAAATCCATTTTTTTAGTTGTTTTTTAAATGATTTATTTGATTTAATTACTTTTAATGACTCTGGTATGAAGTTATAGAATTTTGGTCCCAAGAAAAACAGAGATCGTTGTGTAATGGTTTTTGATGTTTGTGGAATACACATTGAATTTTGATTGAATCTTGTTGAGTAGTTATGAATGGTACGATTAAAGTATTTTGAATATTTGAAATAATGTATTAGACCACAATAAAAATAAATTTGTCTGCAATCTAATAGCTGAGCCTCCACATATAGAAAATCACTTGAATAAGTAATCTCCCTATGGAGGATCAATTTTAGACTTAATTTTTGGATTACCTCAACCTTTTTGTAATTATTATTCATAACTCCCCCCCAAGCCAAAATTCCGTAAAGTAATAGAGGATAAACAAGAGCATAATATAGATTATATAGATATTTCTTATTTAGAATATCTCTGAAGTACCTGAATTTTGGAATAATACATCTCAGTCTTTTCACAATGTACTTTGTATGGGTATCCCATTTTAAGTGTTTGTCCAAAATCACGCCTAAGTATTTTATTTTATCGGCTGACTGAATCTCTTTGAGACCACTGCTTGTATGAATTTCAAGTTTTTTAAATTGCGGTGAGAGCCTGTCGTTACAAGAAAATGCTATATAGTGTGTTTTGTTGTAATTAATTGTCAAAGTTCTTTCCGAAAAGAGATTTATAAATGTTTTGAAATCATGTTCGATTGTGGTTTTTAGTGTATGCCACTGGTTGCTTTCATAGAGAATAGCTGTTCATCCGCAAAACCGATAACTTTACCTGTACTATTTATTTTGAACAAAGATGTACATATCCAACGCTAGTCTTCGATAAATGATCGCGGTACTTGTATCGGATATCTTTCAAAAGTTCTGTTTACTTTGCGACGCACCTTACAGAACGGCGACAACTTGAAGCTGTAATTACAAAAAAAAACATGTAACTGGCAGTACTTGAAAAGCAGTGGGAAGTAAAATACGAATCTTATTTTGACCCAGATAGATAGGAACTTCGTTTCTTTTCTGTCAAGCTGTTACTTTTAAGTTTATGAGTGTATTTTATTTCCTCTAACGCGAAAAAGCTCTTCGGATCGTACAAAAAATACACGACGCTCAATCAAGTATGGCGCGGGGTGTAAATTTTATTAGGATTACCAGGCAAGGAGAAGCGGCGCCGTTTTTTTTCTGTGCCGCTCCAAAAGCTTTCGCAAAATATACGCGCCTGGTATACTTCCAGATAAAGCTGGTTAGAATTAATCAGTTTCGGGAAAGAATGATAAGGCAGAATGTTGGTAGTATAGAGATTTTAGGATAATTTTGTGACAATGTTTAAGCTTTTTAAGGTTTTCATAATATTTTTTGGTGTACCCAATCAAACTGTGACATTGGCATATCCAGAAAACGTCTGGGAGAGGGGTACTAAGGACTCATGTTCATTGGGAGGGAGGGGGGTGGTGTTGTCTTCTTTTTTAATATAACAAAATCAATTGATACAATTTTTAAAATCATTTTCTTTATTTTCAGGTGAGTAGACATTCTATTTCGATCGAATTTGCATTATCGTCTCTAACGGGTAAGCCCATATATGTTTATTCTAATGGGTTGTCCAATAGGGACGCAGGAAAGTAAACGTCAATTTGACATAGACGCCATCTTTGTTTTCTGTCACCGACATGTCATTTTGTTAGTTGAATGTTTACCATTGATCGCTATGGAGTCGTATTCGATTGAAGACCGCATTAAAGTTATTCAAGAGCACTACAAAAATGGTGCAAAAATAAA